CAAGAAATTACAGCAATTTCACCGCAAATATCACATGTTGGTTTTAAATTAGTTTTGAAACAAAAATCTACTGGTGTATCAAATTCTTCTGGTTTCTTTTCTAAATAACCACTTTTATACCATGCATATTTGAATAAATTTTTAAACCTTGGTGATGAAAATTGATTATGTGTTAATGATTGTAATTTTAAAATATTGTTTCTTGAATGAAGCTTGACGTCAAGATCTAAAAGCATGATGGTATCTGAAAAATGTCTAACAAAATTTTTCCATAAACGAAAACCGAATACATCTAAAGGTTGTATTTTTCCCGTTGCTCCAGCTGGTATAGTTAACAAATTAATATTGTCTATAAAATCTGGTTTGTTTCTTTGAATTATATCAGGACAATGACCAGTCCAAGAATCTAATAATAACACTGATTTTGGTCCAACATTTGGAAAAAACACTTCTTATCCAGATCTCAAAATGATGCGATGTTAATTTTCCAGATTTTGATGCCATGACAAAAATATTATTATCTTTAAACATTGTTTCTTTTACTATTGGACCAAATGTTCCAGTAGGTTCTTTTAAAACAATAAACAGAGGCGATAATAATCTACCATCAGCTGAAACAATAGGTTGTATAGTATAACTATGTAGTTGCTGATATGGATTGTACTATGCGCTCTACTTTTTTAATACCAATAGGTGATAGTGAACGACCGGAATGAAATTCTAATTGAAATCCACTTTGGTCCGAATTATATACATTTTCAATTCCATATTGTATAATAAAAGATTTAACATTTTCGATAAATGACTTGCTTCGTGCTTCTAAATCTTTGTCTGACGCTAAATGTTTTTTTGTTATAAATTTTGTAATTTTTCTAGATACGATATTATGTGCAAGCTTAAACTTTTTTACCCATGATAATGATGCTGTAAACCCAAGTAGATTTACTTCCTTCTGTGCGCGAATAGCCCATCGAGCAATATCAATGTCATGAATAATTATTCCCTTTTCAATACCTTCATGGAATTTATTTAACGTATATGTTGGAATTAATTCCAGTTAAATAAATTCCATGAAGGTACTGAAAAGGGAATAATTCATTTATCGAACAAGTCATTTATCGAAAATGTTAAATCTTTTATTATACAATATGGAATTGAAAATGTATATAATTCGGACCAAAGTGGATTTCAATTAAAATTTCATTCCGGTATAATTATTCCCTTTTCAATACCTTCATGGAATTTATTTAATGGAATTAATTCCATTAAATAAATTCCATGAAGGTATTGAAAAGGGAATAATTATACCGGAATGAAATTTAATTGAAATCCACTTTGGTCCGAATTATATACATTTTCAATTCCATATTGTATAATAAAAGATTTAACATTTTCGATAAATGACTTGCTTCGTGCTTCTAAATCTTTGTCTGACGCTAAATGTTTTTTTGTTATAAATTTTGTAATTTTTCTAGATACGATATTATGTGCAAGCTTAAACTTTTTTACCCATGATAATGATGCTGTAAACCCAAGTAGATTTACAGGGTTTGTCCGGAAAGTAATGCGTCGCATTTTTTTAAAAAAGAATTTATTGATCGCATAGGTAAAACAACTTAAAATTGTTCGAAGTATGACCCTTCTGCGTCAATACATTTTTGCCAACGCGATTTCCATGCGTCATAAGATTTCTGGAACTCCTTGACTGGGATGCTGTTCAGGGAGGCCGTCGAAGTAGCTTGTACGTTGTCAACCGACTCGAGCTGTTGTCCTTTGAGCTCCCTTTTCAGCCGAGGAAATAAAAAAGTCCGCCGAAATTGGGATTATCTGCACAGAGTTGCTTGAGTTCTTCACAAACTTCCACTCGGTGTTGCTTTTGCGCATCGGTCAACACTCTGGGCACAAGTTTTGCGCAATCTTCCGCATGGCCAAGTCTTCCGATACAATCTCGTGAACAATCGTTTTCGGCAAGTTCAATATTCCGACATTAAGCGAACATTCATTCGACGGTCTGAATTCAATAATTGGCGCACACGAGTCACATTGTCGTCCGTTCGCGATGTTGACGGGCGTCCTGCGCGGGCCTCGTCGGCGACCTCCTTCCGACCTTCTCTAAACATCTTGTGCCATCTGTTTGACTGCGATTTGGAAAGGCAATCGTCCCCGAAAACTTTCTTGAGCATTTCAAAAGTTTCCAGCGGCGTCTTGTCCAGCTTCACGCAAAACTTTATCGCATAGCGTTGCTCTATCGTTCTCTCCATCACAAGTTCGACGCGACCACTAAGCAGAGGTTCACAGAATAAGCCGTCCTAACCCTCCAAGCGCATGGAACAATTGAGCGACCTACCGTTGGAAAGCTAAGGGTACCCCCCTTCCTCCCCAACCGGTCCCATCGCTCTGCGATGTATAGTCGCGTCACAAAAAAATGCGACGCATTACTTTCCGGACAAACCCTGTACTTCCTTCTGTGCGCGAATAGCCCATCGAGCAATATCAATGTCATGAATAATTATTCCCTTTTCAATATCTTCATGAAATTTATTTAACGTATATGTTGATATTTCTTTCAGTTTATCAAATCTGCTGCCACCTTGATTTACTTGCTGCTCCCATCTTCTCAATTGACGTAATGACGTGATTTTCCGAAATCTATTTCTTATAGATGCAAGAGTTCTTGACTTTTTTGTTCCACTTCTCCATAACTCTACTGCATTTCTTTTATATTCTATTGGTACACAATCTGCAACACATTCAATTTCTTTTACAAAATATGTGTCATCTTCTCTTTCTTCATCAATTACAGGTTCTACTTCAGGTATATCCAATTCGTTTTGAAAATTTAATGATGATTCTTCATAAACTTCAAACGCTTCTTCATACATTGATCGAAGCATATTTTCCATCATGTCTTTTGTTTCATTTTCATCTGTTGTAACAGGACTTTCTGGGAATTCCCCAGTCATATACAGTGCAGTGTATAGCAGTACTGCTACATTTCTTGGATTAAACATTATCTAAAAAAATTATTAACATTATGTATATTTGTTTTATAAATATTAGCAAAAAAATACTTATTAGCAACAAAAATATTTTATTATTTAATGCGTATTAATAATTTGTTACGTTTTCCGAGTTTCATAAAAAATAGAACACTGTTTTTATCACATAATTTATAATAACTTAAATAAAGTAATAAAATATTAATTATAATTTAAATACATTGAAACAAAACAGATAAAATTTTGAATAAAGTGTAAGTAAAAGCAAAAAACTATAAAAGTTTTAAAAATCGAAAAAGTACATACATACTGTATTGTTGTGTGCGTGGGGCACAATTGTTTTTTCAGGATAACGGCTAGTCTTGTTAATTAACTCGAGCACTTGTTAATTATTTGATAACTGATTTGTGACTGTCCGCCGCTTCTAGGCGGTGATTTTTAACGCCTCCGGTTCTGAACGATTATCGGAGAGGGATCGCGCGGTGGCATGACGCGGTGGAATGAAATCATCAGTTATTTCTAAAGTGGCGTGATCAAAATGCAAGCGAAGGAAGTCCAAAGACTTCCTTCCTCGCATTTTATTGCAATTTAGCGCTATTTCAAGAGTGATTTCTTTCTCTATTTGATGACTTGGCCGTGTGATACTGGCTGTATCAGCACTTCGGGCAACTGACCTTCTTATCCCAACGCATTTTTTCGCTCGCTTTATAAGTTATAATCCTTTTAATTATTTTATTATATATATAAATATATTTACTATCGCGCTCGCGTATATTCGATAGACGCTTTAATAGTAATATGTGTTCCACTGCACGCAGTTGTTAATAAAATAATATATTGCACCAACTCATTTCGCGAATGCGACATCTGTTTATTCATAGAATTGAATCTATTAACCTCGGCATCTGATCAATAATTTTCCTTGTCCGACTAGTTTTATTTTTCATGCATTAAAAACATTTCTTTTCCATATAAATTATATGTATATTTATTGTCACATAATATATATATTATAATTATATATATTATATAATTATAAATTATATTTATAAATATAATTTCTATAATTTATAAAAATATATTCTCATAAATTATTTATTGCTAATTTATGGTTGCCTCTGTGAGTTTGCGAAGAAAAATAACTGTCGCTGTGAATAACGAGCGTCATGAGGCGGATAAAGCGGGCGTATAGTAGTGTATAGGGATATTTTTAATTTATTTCTGAAAAATGCGACTTCGGAATACAACTTTATTATATATGATTGAATTTGTCGTTAAATGAGTTATAAGTTTTGTTATGAGACAAATTTAAAAATTTTCAAACATTAAAAAGGAGGGGGGGGATTTCGAAAAATATGACATTTTCGACAAATCTGATTACATGATTTTGAAGTACATTAAAAACCATAAGACTTTTATTTGAAACTTTTGTTTATATCTCTTATCGCTTCGACGGTATTTGCTGAGAAATGAAAAAATCGATTTTTTTCAAGGTGTTTCACCCCCTTAACGGCCAAATTAGCACTTATAAAAAAATACGTGTCTTCTATTTTGATCTAGACTACAACATATTCAAAGCTCATTAAAATCGGAGGGGGACACTTCCGACCCTTTCCTTGTAAATAGTACAGTCTTGACTGGCCTTGAGTGCACAAATAATTTTTGATGTACTTATATTTAAGTTGTATGACTTTATAAACTTTAAAATATATACATTTGCCTTTTGTGCCTCGTTCACAATTATAAAACAACGAAAAATTAATTTTCGCTGTCTTAACATCCAAACATCTGGATTGGATCACATAGCCTGTTTATTGTTCGAATTATTTTAATATATGCAGACCTATATTAATATTAATATACTTTTTTGTTTTATACATATTTAACCATAGGATGTATAATGTTATAAAAAAAAATAAAAATTCGGTGAATCGTAAATTGTAAAGTATATTTGTAAATATATGAAACATTATTAATGCATCACAAGTTGTAATTAAAAATAATTAAAAACACTATACTATAAGATGTACAAAAAATATATGTATATAAGTGCATGTGTTACACATAATAGCTGCTTTTATATTCTAAGTGATGAACTATAAGGTCAAGAAATATTAATTGTTTTCTGATTATACATATAGCATAACGGATTTTTTTTCGAATTTTTTGTTTATGTTGCAACACTGTTATACACATTTTACATTGCTAAAACAGATTCGACATTTATCATTTAAAAATAGTACGAAACGTAAATAATACAAAGAAAAGTATTATAAGATAATTTTTTAATATCACAATTCATCGCGTTGATTGGAAGAAGAGTATGTTAACGTGTAATTATTCTGCTGGTAGAAAAATGTTTCATAATACTGCTTCTGTCTTTCGATTTGATAGTTGCGAATTGATATCTTGCTTTCAACTTTATCAGACTTCAGCATTATGGAATCCTAATATATATAAAAGATTTAAATTAAACATTAAAATCAATATACTGATTATATAATAATCAAAACAAATATAAAATTAATAATCAGAATTTAATAAGAGAGATAGAACAATACTTCTTTTTCTTTCGCTTTCCATAATAATATTTATTTTTACCTTTTCTTTCATTTTCTCAATTGATAAGATTGCGTGGAACTTGAACCTTATAACGTATTCCTTTATTTCCTAAAATGTATTATTAGTAAATAACATTATTATAACATTATCAAAATTATTTAAACATTAAATAATAATTATTAACATTGCATTATTATCACATTTTGTATACATATATAAATATATAAAATCTGTACCTCAGTTAGATTTACGGAATATACGTTATTAATAATAATAATTAATGCTGCAGTTACATCAACATGTCTAAAAACGAAAAAACAAATGTATATATAAAACACAATATATTTTTACAAAATATTTATAAAAATATGTCACGTTACTTTGGTCTTATGTTAAAAAAAATGTCATTTAATATGTCCATCAGGATATTTCGATTCTTCGCATGCTTCGTAATAATATGTAAGAAACTGTTAAAAAGATATTGATTTTCTAATTTAGAAAAAGGTTTATATGTTAAATAGTTTTTAGTTATATCAGTATCTTTACTGCAAGCCAAATATTCTATAAATTTAGTGTCAGATTTTTTATATCCTATATTATACACTAATTGCCAAGTCTTTTTGTTGGTAATTGTTTTCAAACCGTTACAATATGTCCATTCCTGCCACCATGGCAAAAGTCTAAAACATAGTAAAAAAATTAAATTTTTTAATTGAAGATTAACATACGGATCTTTTGATCAAATCATTTGAACATTATAGCGATACAAGAGAATTTGATTAAGAAAGGCTAAAAAATATATACATATCGAAATATTTACTTGTGTTTTGTAGGATCTAAGAGATGATGTTCTAATTTCCTGTTGGCTACTTCCTTACAATTAAGGTCATCGAGAAAACATGCCCATCTTGCAGCTTCTTGTCGTAAACATATTCTAAGTTGGTCTGTATCATCAATTTCTTCATATTTGATTCTTTCAAGTAGCGCGCGTAAAATGTATCTTACTCTCGTCTAAAAATTGTTAAATATACATTTATTTGTTCATATTATAAATGTATATTTATATATATATATATATATATATATATATAAAAAATTATTATATTTTTTTAATTATTTTCCAATAGATTTTTAAAATTTTCTCTTTCTAGAAAACAAACATACATACAAATTCACTTAAGACAAAGACGCTAACGTTTATCTATTCACGTACATATACATATACGTGCAATTATACATATGTATTATACATGTACGCAAAAATATGGTTTAATTTGTGCGAAATATTTATAATATTTAATAGATATTAAAGTTTCATAACTATTTATCAATTATATTTTATTTTTAAATAAGATATAAAATTAATATATTGTTTTAAAATATATATAATTAAATTTTTCCAACTCAATATATATGTTTAATTTTTTTAAATTACTAACATGTAAAATTGATGTAAAGCTAATATAATTGCATTTATTGACAAAAATTAAGCACCTTACTACATATCGATAACAATGTTATATACAATAATATGTGGAGTAGTGAAAATCATAGACTTTTTGGACAGTTCTTCGAGTGAGTATTCAAGTGATTATTCAAACTAAATTTGTTTGCACATTTGTTTGCGACGTAATAGTATGTAAAATCTTATTGTTGCTGGAAATATTTTTCTAAGTATTTAAATTATTTGTGATCAATGAGTGTATATGCAAACATTTAAAATATAATATTTTCATTGAAATTTATTAATATTTACCGTAATATATCCCTCCATGTTTTCCCATACACGATGAGTATTGGCACCATATACGTATTCCATAGCTTTAAACATAGGATACCATGCCACATAATCTTCTTCTCGATGCAAATACTCTGTGAGATCCCAGAATATAGAGGCTTTGAGTTGGCCTGCTATCATTAAATGAAATGCATCATCGATTATTTGGGCACGATTAAGAACATGAATTTTCGTGCAATTATCTGATTTTAAATAACTTGAAATTTTTCGCCAATTTTCATCATCATAGTTAACGCGATAATATCCTGTTGAATAGTAAATAAATATTATCAATTTTTATTGTTATAAATAATTTTATCATTAATATACTTATTTTCAAACATATTTCAATTTTTCTTTCATACTTTTGTTTATATAAATTATAAATTAAAAATGTATGAAAAATTTAATACATATAAATAAAACGCAATTACATCTTAATGCACGGGTGAAGCGGCGCTTATACCGTGACACATTCGATGACAGTTGAATGTGTCACTATATAAGCGTCCCTTCTTCCGTTTCGCCACGCGTCAAGCAACAGTGCAATTATATGGGCTGTCTTTTTTCGCCACGCGCTTGTAGGCGCGCTTATTGGTTGATCTTTATTAATTAATTTTTTCTCATTAATTATTAAGAATTTCGCAAAATGGTACAGGACTTTTCTATTCGGTTCGACCTGCTCTACCTGCCTATGAAAGGTGATACGCGAGTCACTCTGTATATATATATATATATATATATATATATATATATATATATACTCTGTGTATATATATATATATATATACATATATAATATATATAATCAATATATATAATAATGCAGAATATTACACAAAACATTGTAAAACTGTTATAGTTATATAATAAATATCTCTGATTTTCATAGGACAATGAATAAAATAGATAAAAAAATTAAATTATGTCAATTATGTGTATGTAAAATAAAGACAAAAAATAAGTCATGATAAAGTCCATTTATTGATATTTACCAACTTGTTGTATATTGAATATCATCCAACCATCCTCTTTAAATGGTAATGATAATTCGAAATCCCGTGACACGTGTAGAAAATAATGAGTGAAATTGTTAAAATTGGAAGATGTTTCCGTAGTAAAAGTTATAGGAATGCAGCGAATTTCTAATATGTCGATATATTGTATCGATATAGTTGTTTGGCTCATAGGATCTTTATAACTTCGTTCTACTTTAATGAGAGGACAATGCTTCTCCGAAGCCCATTCTTCCATTCTTGTTAGTTTTAAAGCAAGATTTATTTTTCTAGCAACATTCTTCATAAGATTTACAGAGCCTAGACGATGTGATAGCCTAAGAAAATATTACAAATATGTTAAAATTGTCTGTATAATATGAATATGATGTTTTTTAAATCGGCCAACAGAGCCAAAGCACGAAAAATTAATTATTCGGAACTGTATCTCTTGGTTTGAGATCACTAAGTTCCATATATAAATTAATCTCGAAACTTACATATAGAGAAATATATTTACTAACATCTACTAAAAGGCAAATGAAAAATATAGGATCGAAAGGGTCTGAATAGCTTAGTTGGTAAGAGCAGTCGCCCGGAAAGTGAAAAACACGGGTTCGATTCTCGCTTCAGCGACTTTTCGGACCTATATTTTTCGTGCCTATTTCTCTATATGTAAGTTTCGAGGTTAATTTATATATGGAACTTAGTGATCTCAAACCAAGATATACAGTTCCGAATAATTAATTTTTTGTGCTTTGGCTCTGTTGGCCGATTTAAAAAACATCATATTTATATTCTTAATATTGAGAGCCGATAAAAATATTTCTTTCTGATTGTCTGTATAATGTTAATATTATAAAAAATTTTGGTAATTATTAAGATATGGAGATCCATCTCCGATTTCGATGATCTTGACATTTGTTGTCAAATAGTTTTCATAGGAAGAGTAATGAAATTAAAAATAATTTTGGTAGAAGATCAGTACAAATAGAGGAATTGTAACAGTAAGAAAAAACATTATAAAATAATGTCAGAAGAAACGAAAAAAAATGAAGAACATTATATAAAATTGTATATTATTATAAATTATTTAAGATTTATATAATTTTATTTTTTTATATTATATTCTATGTTGTATTACTCACGTGCTATTTGCATATAAGCTAATGTTTTTCCAAAAAATGTTATCAAAGGCGTGTTTCATCATGCGTAGTATAAAGGGTACTACAATTTACAGCAAAATTATAAATTAGATATTTATAAATGTGTATTTATTATAATAGTTACATGTAAACATAGTATTTTATAAAGAAAATTATAATATATATGTATATACAGAATAGTAATTGCGTAAGAGTGAAATGTTTTTTATTGCCGCACTGTTTATCATTCTATTTTATAAGTAAATTTCTCATTAATACTTACGAAAATAGACTTTAAAGGACCATTCAATTAATTCCCTCTACCTACATATGTCGGCTATCAACGGACACTCAGTCACAGAGTTATAGCCACTTTTATTTAATTTTCTTAATTTTATTTTTTAATTTTTTTTTAATTTTTCGATATTTGTAAATACGATTACATAATTTTAAAAATCAAGAATAAACATAAATAAATATTTAAATTAAATTATATAAGATGTTCAAAATGGCCACCTTTAGCACAAATGCAGGCTCTTATTTTTCTATAAAATAAGGAATTCCGAACTCTTTGAAAAACATTTGGATCCTTTATTTCTTCGAATTCATGAATTATTCTTTGTTTTAAATCAGGAATATTATAGGAAAATTTATTTAATATGATTTAAAATTGAAAAAAATTAAAAAATAAATAAAATTAAATACAAGTAATTATAACTCGGAAACGATTTATTTCCGAACCTATGTTTATATAACATTTTTTTCTTCTCTCTCTCTCTCTCTCTATATATATATATATATATATAAAACACGTTAAATAAATTAAGGTCGCCAGTGATGATTAAAAACTAATAAATCTTAATTTTATTCAATTCGACCAAACTGGCACATTACATAGTAAACAATATCTCACAACGTTTCGGCCATCAATTACTGGTTCTTATCAAACGAATCTACAAAAAAGATAATATAAATTAAATAAAAATTATAAAATATAAAATATGTCTTTCTACCTAATTAGTATAAATTAAATCACATACTTATTAAAGCAAATTTACATGTTAAAACACAAAACTTGTTGTTCTGAAGTACGCAAAGTGATGTTAACGAAAGGAACAAAATAAACCAAATGATTTCTGGGTAAAAATTCAACGTCGACTATAGAGCTATAAATTATGGATATAATAATAACAAGAAAGCTATATTGTATATAAAAATCAATGTCAACGTAACAAAAAGACAAACCACCGATGAAAGTAATAAATAACTTGTAAGTTTGTTTGTCAGCAGTTATTTATTACTTTATCGGTGGTTTGTCTTTTGTTACGTTGACATGATTTTTATATACAATATAGCTTTCTTGTTATTATTATATTCATAATTTATATCTCTAGTTGACGTTGAATTTTTACCCAGAATTATTTGGTTAATTTGTTCCTTTCGTTAACATCGCTTTGTGTACTTCAGAACAACAATTTTTGTATTTTAACATGTAAATTTGCTTTAATAAGTATGTGATTTAATTTATACTAATTAGGTAGAAGGACATATTTTATATTTTATAATTTATATTATCTTTTTTTGTAGATTCGCTTGATAAGGGCCAGTAATTGATGGCCGAAACGTTGTGAGATATTGTTTACTGTATAATGTGCCAGTTTGGTCAAATTGAATAAAACTAAGATTGATATATATATACATATCCATACACAAACTATTTCATTTTAAAATATCTATATATAGATTTCTTGAACAATTTATTTTAGATGAAAACGTTTTAGAGAAATGTTGTATAATATCTAATAAAAAACAAGTGAACACTACTGACTTTTTTCTAAAGGGTGATTGTCAAAGTCACTTGAAGTTCATTTATGTCTTTTTTTAATAAATCTACCTATATTTTATTATAAATCGATTTCTCGCAATATTCATTATCCGTATTAAGTTGTACGGATAAGAAAATCATAAAGAGAATATTTGACAGAATATTTTATATCTTTAACACATTATTCTACATAAACGTAAATATCTCATAAAATATTAATTTTTCGTCGATCTTGCCTCAATACTTTTGTATATAAAATAATGAAAAAAACAATATTTTTGCAAAAAAAAAGACGTTGTTTTTAAGGAAAACTATGTAGCTGCTAGTTGCAAATTACATAGACACATATATATATTGTTTTATGTATAAATACTTAAAATATTAATTAAAGAATATGCATAAATACGAACAAACGTACATACGCGTGTGTGTGTGTGTGTGTGTGTGCTCGTATGTGTGTATTTTTATAAAAATAATATTTAATTAAAATCCAGATAAAGAATTAATTATGTTTAAACTTTACACATATTTTAAAATATTAATAGTTAAAAATTTACGCGGAGTATTCTATTATATTATATATACCTTTGATAGAATTGATAATTTCCAATAAAGTGTTAACTTGTGAAGTAGAATTCCACATATAATAACCATCTAAATTAAAAGAGTAATGTTGATTTTGAACAACAAATAAATTTATTATTCGATAATCTGGATAAATCTATAGAAAAAATTAATTAATATATAGATATAATTGTTCTGAAGAAACTTGCATTAAATACAAACTATTACCGTTACTTTATTGATAAAACAAAACACTTTATCATATAGAAAAACACATTAAAATAAATATAATAAGATCTAAAATTTTGTATTAATATAATCAGCAAATATTACATATTTTTTTAAATTCTTGTCTTGTGATAGTATATTGCAGACTTCTCTTTATCAAATTTATTTAAATAAATATCATATATGTGTGTGTATGCGTACTAGCTTTTGATTAATTTATTTTATTATATTGCATAAAATTTAAAAATATGTAATAAAGTAGTGTTAAAAAGTAAAAATATTTAATAAAATAAATTATAATTATGTAATGTATGTATGTAAACATGTGAAAAAAGTATTTTTTAAACAACAGTTAATTATATAAAATAATGCTAAATATGTTTTCAAGACAATTCACAACGAATGCATATAGATTTTGTAAAAAAGGTTTGATTTAAGAAAATCATGTAATATGAATGTTTAAGTATATATCGTTTGCGAGAAGATGGGAGCGAGATAGAGTTGAAAATATTTAGAATAACGTACCTTATTGACAGCATATGTTGCAAGCAATGTAATAACACCCTTTTTAAACCAAAAATCCGACACGAACGGATTGTTTAACATGTTATTAAACCATTGCTGTGTCACTTTACGTCCTACTAATTGAGCTACTTCGATTTTGTGAGTAGTAGGATATACATTTTTATCGTAGATAATATCTGTTTCCCTGAAAGTTATATTTAAATGTTAAGACTCAGAACTTTTATAGAAAATAAAACTTTATTTTTGTTACAATATTATAATTTAAATATTATATGTACGATTTACAAACTTATAAGTACAATTGAGCAGTATAAATCGTACCAAATAATATTTTTCTTTTAATTTATAATATATATGTAACAACGATAAATTTCTGTTAATGTGTTTATCGTTGATAAAGAAATATAATTTAAAATAACTGACAAAATGTCATTTCATTTATAGCTATATTTGTAGTTTTAACATCTACCTTAGGCGGTAAGATTTAGCATACATACTTTATCCTTTATGTACGTATTAAAACGGTATACTTTAACTTTGTAATAGTATGAATAAATTTAATTCTACTAAAATTGTTTTCGCAATTTCTTATACTTTTGAACGTTTACAGAAACGAAAGATATACATTCCCAGCTAACCATTTGCTTGGAAATTGTTAACAATCGGGAAATAAAATACGACCAAATATGGCTGCAAATCCAGAGCCTACTGTGTCCTCGAGTGCGCTCCAATTGCAATCAAAAGTTGAAAGTATATCTTAATATCAAGTTGGGTGCAACGCCAGAGCACATCTGTCACTAACAGGGCGACGACAGATTGGCAACAGACTGGGAACGGATTTGTCGATCGTAAATTGAGAACGGATTTGCGCCAAATGCTCAGCAAGTCGAAGAAAAATCCTAGATTTGAAGGATCTGCTGCATTTTAAAATCAATCTGTTGTCAACACTTTCGACAGATCTGCTCTCTACTCATTGCCACTTTGTCAATATAGTCTGCTAACAGATGTTGGGAATATTTACTGAATTTATGCTCACAGTGTTTGTAATGACAAAATATGTTTCTTATCTGCGGCCATTTTATACAAAAGTTGTTGCCTACATTTGCCTCCGCAGAAATGGTTAGCTGGGTTATTAATATATACAAAATTGGAAAGTTTGTATAAATTAAACAAATTATTTAAAACATAAAATGATATTTAGGCTAACTAAACAAGCAATAACTTTTAAGGTGTTATTTATTTATTTTATATACTTATAAATATTAAAAAACCGCAAACATTAAAAAACTGCAAACGTTTCGATTGTACTACAGTCTTCTTCAATACAATAATAATAACATAAATAATGATCGCAAAATGAAATTATAAAACTAATGTTTGCGGTTTTTTAATGTTTATAAGTATAAAATAAATAAATAACACCTTAAGAGTTATTGCCCTTAAGAGTTATTGTATTGAGTTATTTAGTTAGCCTAAATATTTTGTTTTATTATTTTATGTTTTAAATAAAAAGATATACATGTTTTTAAATTTTAGAATTTTGCATACTAATATAATTTTATTTTTAATGTAATTTTAAGTACTTGTACTCACTTATAAAAAAACCAATCCAAAAACGATTACGTCATTGTCATGGAAATTTGGAATTGCAACATGAGTCACTTTCGAAATATTGTTGGGACGCTGTTTCCATTCATTTTTAAACCACAACGTGATATTTTTAATTACATTTCTTGCAAATTCCATGTGAAATCCAGATTCATTTCTGCAGCATATTTCAATGTTTCGAGTGTCATTATCAATACGTAATTGGTAATTAGACACAATCATTGTTGCAAGATAAGACGAAATTGCAGGTGTGGTATCAAAATGTGTCCATAACATATTATGCTCACTTTTTTCCGTATATCGCAATGGCATATTTGACAAAGCCGTACATTGATTACATCCTATAGATATGTTAAAGGTTGCTTCATGGAATAAATTCTGTTGATCCCAACTTGAAGACAATTGTCGGCTGCTTATTATATGGAAATGAGTAGCAGCTACCATACTATACATTTCAAAGAATATAAATTATTGATTCAGCAAACATAAAAATATTGGGAATTGAAAAACGTATAAATGTAATATGTAATAATATAAACTAAAGATAAGGATTGATAGTCTTTATATTTAAATTCCATGAATAATATATATATTAATTACAATGTTTTATGTAATTGCACATTGTACTTTTTTATAAAAACATATATTATTTACATATTTACTTACGCAATTTTTTTTTTCACGTCGAAAATACTAAAGACTTCATTAGCAGTACCATAATATTTTATATTTAAAATGTAATTTCCTGGTGATACCTCGTTGATAAAAAAAATATCAAGTATGTCTTCTTCAATATTATATGTTGGTTTATAAACTGTATCTTTATCATTCTCATCATATTTTGCTACATTTGTAAACAAAACTATATTTTTAATACTTAATTTTTCTGAATGTAGAAATATGTGTTGCGTTTTGTTAGGAATGCTTATGCTGATATTGTATTCTCCATAGAAAATATATCCTTCAATATATGATATAAGCTTGATGTCGTAATGGATTGGTTTTATATATTTTGCTGGTAGATAGCTGGTAGATAAAGATGATTGATTACAAATAGAAGTCGTCTCAGCGATAACATTAATCCGCTACTTAATAATAGTTTTAGAAATATCATCATGTTCGAGAAGGAATATTTATTTTAGATCTGTAAAACAAACTCTAAACAAAAGATAGATATAAATATTAAATGCAGTTTTGATGTCTTTTTAAAATTTTTAAACAATACAAGAGCACGCTTTGCACGCGCTTTTGATATTATTTCTATTATTAATTTAACAATTATTGTTAAATTATTCATTTTCGTGATGACAGTTGCATGATGCTATAGATGTGATCATAATTTTAATTCGCCGCATTTTAATCATGTACATAATTTTAATTAGTCGAATTTCTATTTTAACAACTAATTTGTATACATACTATTTTGTATCTCTTTATCATATATTTTTTCTTATTTTGTTTAATTTAATTGAATATACCCAGCTAAAAATGATAGTTAAATTGATGTCGAATCGACGTCAAATAGATGTCGAATTGGTCGAATCGATATCGATTCGACATCTTTTCGACCGATCATTTCTGACAGTAATTACGTGCGCGAAACGAAGTTAAATTAATAATCTTTAATAATAATATTTCAAATAGCAACGCAATAAAATATTATGGCAATGCATGCATAGAAATATATTTAATATAATTATTAATTACATGATTCATAAAAATTCAATATATACATTTTTAACGGAAAACAAAAAATATAATTTTCTACATAAATCTTTTGATCAAAATATATGCGCTTCCATTAGATTCGTGCGTCTGTACGCGTTTGCTACACTACATTACATGGCTCGCGCGAAATTGATCACGTGATCAGATTAGTACACTTTACACGTTCATTACGGTGCGCGGTTCGCACGAGATTGATTCTCATGCGAGATATCGCGAGTACGGGACCGATGGTTCCATTACATGTAGTTACGTGATCAGTATGTTCATGTGACTAGTCGATCCACTGATCACGTGACCTAGGCCACTCGCTCGCGATACCTCGAACGAAAATCGGTTTTGTGCGAGCCGCGCAGCGTGACAGATATATGGGGTATAAGTCTCGCGCAAGTCTAATGAAAGCGTACATATTTGAACACAAAAGATTCTTGTAAAAATTTTATTTCTTTGTTCGTATGTTCTGTTAAATATTTAAATGAATTTTTATGCATTGCATAATTAATTAATATATTTTTTATGCATTGAATGCAAAAACAATTTTTGCATGCATGCGTTGCAATTTCTGAGATCTTAATGTTAAAGTATATATAATATAACTTCGCTTTGCGCAATTATATTCGGTTAGATTAAACGAAATGATATATATATATATATATATATATATATATATATATATATATATATATAGCACACACACACACACACACACACACACAGACGCACGCACGCACGCACGCACGCACGCACGCACGCACGCACACACACACGCGCACACACACACACACACACACACACACACACACACACACACACACACACACACACACACACACACACATATATTGCCGTCACACACACATATATATATATATATATATATGTATGTATATATATCAGTAGGATTTACTATTCATACCATAGAACTTTAATTTAAGGTTTAATTGCAAAGTTATATATATATAAGTGACGGCAAATTTGGGAACATGCAAATATAATGATAGCCTTCCTATCACTGTCGCGAAGAAAAAATCGACTCCAAATGATATCAGGAATCTACTATTAACAGGTTTACTACTGTTCTGGGACATCCTGTATATAATGGGTTTTTTTAAATATTTCAGATTGAACGCATCAATGTATCAAAATAGATGTGGAGTTAACAATTGTTTAAAATCTATAATATTATGGATTTTTTATTTGATTTACAATTAGAGAATGTTATATCATTTTACTCTATAATTTATAATTAATAAATAATTATTATAATTTTTAAGTACATTGACTTAACTTTATCATAATTTATTTTTTGTTATTAAGTATTAAAGCTATAATCTTTATCAATGTTAATTTTATCAAATCTTTTTAATTAAGATAATATTTTTATATTTCTTACCATCAATATATATGGTATACATGTAACATTACACATTAAATTGTTTTTAATTATAACAGTAGAAATTAAATTTTAATCTTGGTATTTATAATATCGGCATTATTTGAAATTATCTCTGGATTAAAATTTAAAAATAATTTTAAATAAAACTATTCTGTTTATACTAATATGTTAGAATTCTTTGAAATTCCGTTATACTATATGATTAATTTTTTTTTTTAATTTGTAGACAAATATGATTTTATATTTTTAACTTATTGTTGACTTACCTAATATTTCGGAAATGTATGTTAAATGCAAAATTATATATTTTTTAAATTAGTGCACCAAATTAATGCTTTAGCAGTCTGCAATGTTCGAAGAATATTATTATTCACACATGCTTTCTTACAATCATTATATCTACCACGATATGATTCGAAAGGCCACGAAAGACTGACTGATTCTCTGTACGGTGTCATCATGATAAATATGTGTTAGGTCAACAAAACTTCTGAGGTCGTTATTTATATATATGTATATACAGGGTGTCACATAATTGGCGCCCACTATTTACATAGCGATATTTCTCGTGGAAAACTGAGTCAACAAGTCCTGAGTCATTTTTTTTTCTATAATGCATAATATCGTTAATAATTTCATTAGAATAATCTATATTTGATAGAAAAGGCAAAGGCAAGCATGCTCGAAAGGATAGCGCCTTGTCATAAGCATAGTGCCTTGCATAGTGCACTCACGCTACACGCGATTCTTCCTTCCTTTTTACAGTATTTTATTTAATGTTAGAAATACTTACATTTTTAATTATACATATATATATATATATATATATATATATACATATATGCAAAAAATTATACGCAAATATGTGCATATATTACATACTAACAATAAGACCTTTTTAGGAGCGAGAGAGAGTTGAAAATATTTAGAATGACGTACCTTACTGACAGCATGCATTACAAACAATGTAATAAGACCTTTTTTAAACCAAAAATCCGACACGAACGGATTGTTCAACATGTTATTAAACCATTCCTGTGTCACTTTACGTCCTACTAATTGAGCTACTTCGATTTTGTGAGCAATTGGATATAAATTTTTATCGTAGATGATATCTGGTTCCCTGAAAGTTATATTTAAATGTTAAGACTCAGAACTTTTATGGAAAATAAAACTTTATTTTTGTTACAATATTATAATTTAAATATTATATATACGACTAAACTCATAAGTACAATTTAGCAAATCAGTATAATCGTACTAATAAATATTTTTTTATTTTTTAATTTACAATACGTAACAACGATAAATTTCTGTTAATGTGCATATCGTTGACAAAGAACAATAATTTGAAATAAATAAAAAATGTCATTTCTTTTATGGCTTTATTGCAGTTTTAACATCTATCTTAGGGGTACGATTTAGCATACATAATTACTCTTTATGTACGTATTCAAACGGTATACTTTAACTTTGTAATAATATGAATAAACTTAAGGGGATCCTAAACGGTTGGCCGAATTTCGACGGATACTTTGAGAAGTCTATCGTTTTTTTCCTCTTTATTGACAAAATGTGAAGTTAGATAAACTATAAATCTATTTATTGGTTATATATATCGTTTTTTACCTAAATTAGAACGCTTTCTCCTTTGTTAATATTAATACTTTAATTTATACAGGAAAAAGATTTATCAATCTGTGTAATCTCATATATCTTGATTACAGAATTATGAATCTTAGCATTCATAATTCTGTAACCAAGATATATAAGACTATACAAATTCTCTTTCTAAAAAAAACATGCAAAATTGATTATCGCAAATATTGTTGCTGCTTTTCCGCGATGCTGATTATGGCTGTCTCGATTAACATTGTGTGCTATATTAATAGCATCAAACAATTGCCATCGTGAAGGTTAATAGTTTGATAGTTTGTAAAATAAAATATAAAACTATCGTTAATAACACGCACGAAGCGCGCTTTGTGTTGTCTGCTACATAACAAAAATTCAAAAATGAAATTATTTATAATTAAAATTATGTACGTAATAGACATACAAGAATAAAATTAAAATATAAAATATATGATAAAATATAAATTTAAAATATAACTGTGTTATATAATATACTGTAGCATCATTTATACCTGCATTATTTTTTTAATGAAAATTATTGAATTGTATTTCTCGTACTAGTAATCTATTATCATTTTATACTAATAATAATTTGCTATCATAATTAAACTTTATAACAAAACTGAGTTTGATTTAAATACAATTACTTCTACTTGTAACTTCCTATTTTATTAACAAATCTGCTTATAAATTCTAAATTTTTGTAGTATAATATACATGTATATCATTTCATTTAATCTAAAGACGAGCTCTTCGACTTTTGGGAGTCACGAAAACGTGGAAAATCTTATTCTAAAAACGCAACCATCAAACGCAGCTATCGATCTACATTTACAGACATTTTCTAAAAATATATTAATTTAGAAATCCTATCTCTTCGTAGAAATCAATGGCTTCAAACTCTTATCGAGGAATTCTTTTCCCAAAACTGAAAATCCTAGAGCTTTCCAGCAACAACATACAAGATATTAATTCTTAGAGTTGCTGCCAAATTGTGCTTGTACTTTCTCGATCTTCACCATAACTCTCCTCGCTTCTTTGGCTTTTGTAAGAAACAATGAACTTATTAGCGTTAAACTTGGATAACAATAATCTGAGTGAAGAAGTACAATGATTCGCGTGATTGTCATCCGATTTGTATAGTCCGCACAATCAATATAATCGATATTAATTACGAATATGAAAGAAAAAAATAACATTAATATATTTCGCATAAGAATTAGCGTAATTTTGATCTAGTCATGGATAGCCTGGAAAAACTGCACTACTTCTTCATTTCTGAAAACAAGATTGATTTCGTGGAATTGGACGCTTTCGATGACATCAACAAGTTGG